TCCAAAGGATGAGAATGAAGCAGTGCAGAATATTTGTGTATCAAGGTGATTCCAGTTTCCAACTGGGAAAATAGGACTGTTAACACCCACATCCCCTGACAACTGTCCAATTATGTATATCACACTTGGCCTACTGTTTGCAGTAGAAGTAATCAATAAAGGATGTGGTTGAGTGAACATAGATTTTGGTTGAACCAATGCATGAAAACTTAATCATTTACTCAGAGAGAAGAAATCAAATAGAGCAGAGATGAAACAGCCACTAAGGGGTTTGTTGATTGTGCCACCAAGTTTGTGGGCCACAGATGAAAGTAATAAGGCAAATGGAATCAGTGACAGGAGAAAATGTAAAAAGCTATTCTTAATTTCATGAATTAATAGAAATGTTTTGATGTATTTTTGGGGGGTCATTTTTAGGAAATTTCACATCAAAGCCTGGATGTTCCATTTTAAAGAATATATGAAAATTACTAGGGCATGTCATTTCTCTCAAGCAAAAGAAATTAATTTCCAGCTATACCAGAAAGGTAATTTTCACACTTGAAACTTTGTACTGATTGATTGAAAGATCTCCACTGTGGAAAGTTTTCTAGGAAATGATTTAACCTGAGTTTGCAAGAAAATTTACAATGAGTATGGAATAAACCCAGAGGTAGGCTAGTTGTGACCAATGTGTCTTGAATAATTCTCATCTTTGTGATTTTCTTCCCCTTAGATTCTTTTCAAAAGTCATCCTGATTATTTGGAGAGTTGTGGCATTTCAGTAAAATGAGTTATTTCAGTAAATGAGGTCAAAAAAACTGCTGTAAAGAAAATTGAGGAATTTTGCTCTCTGTATTTACTCAAACTGTCTGTCTGTGTAATAATAATATTTACTTGGTAACATCTCAACTCACTCTGTTTTATGCACCATAATTCTGGCTTTTATAGCTGTGTCATAGGCAATTGTTATTCTTTTAGAATATCAGCCCTCCACCCCCTTTTCCAAGTGTTGGAGAGGAAGACATGGTAATGCTTATTTTCTGTTACACCCTTTAACCCCTTGTGCAATTAATACTATTCAGAACAACAGCAAAAATAACACACCCTCTTCACTATTAAAACCTTCATCAATAACTCTAATGGCATGGCTGGGTCTAGTATTACCAAATGGACAACTCTGTATTACCAAGTCCGTAGTCTTGAGAGAATGTGGTGTGTTTTTCAATTGAACGCTCAGTATAAATTCTTATAAGCATTTTAGAAGCTTCTAGCCTTAAAGATTATTCACCTTTCATGCACACTCAGCTGATAGCTTTAGACACACACTTATGATAGTCATGGCTATCCTCTTCCATTTCTTTTAAAGAGATAAAATATATTTATAGAGATAGGGCTACCATTAGTGAAACTTGTGCAATTGCACAGGTTAGGAAAAAGATATTTAGAGAAAATGCAAAGCTTCATATGCAGCCTGCTTTATTTTTCTGCCGTCACTGCCATAATTTCTTCTATTTTGGTTGTTCTACATTTCTTGCATGTTGCTGCAAATCTGAAGGCAGTTTGGGACTATGAAAGAGATAGATGTGTGTGTGAGTGTGAGTGTGTGTGTGTGTGTGTGTGTGTGTGTGTGTGTGTCAGTGTATCAAAGAACACTGAGCTCTTAAAGGGAAAATTTTTTAAAATAACCACAAAATCTATATGAATGCATTTTTAGTAATCAGTGGACTTGATTTAATAAGGCTTCTTAGATATCTAAGATATGTTGTCTACCTGAAAGGACTTTTGTTTTTGAAAAATCTCTTTCTTGAATTATTTTACATAAGTGGTAAAAGAATATGCTGAGGCTTACACTCCCCTGAGTGCTACTCCTTAACTACCAGTAATGCTGCAAAATGGCAGATGTGGATTGGAAGGCTTGCAGCATCCCTGGGGTACTTCTACCTTACAGTCCCATAAGAAGCATCTCCTGTACTCTTTTGTGTATTGTACAACATCAGAATACTAAAAACCCATGTCTACCATACAAATCATTGACATCTTCATTGTTACTTAGTAGTAGACAGGAATTTTTGTGAGTTGAATTTGTTTCATTTGGTACAAAAGTGAGGTGGGGATCAATCTTCCTGCCTATTACATGTTTGCCCTGAGGCAGGTTCCTAGACTGTTAAGACTGTAGAAATAGAATTGTCCCCATTCCTTCCAAAGACACACGCTACTTTACGGTATATCAAAATAGCTCTATACTGTTCCCCATCTGAACTCCAAAAAACACTTAAGCAGTCAAATTAAAACTAAATTGTCTGTCTGTTGTTGTTGCCAATATTTACCAGATAATTGTTCACCTCTCCCCTTAGCTTTTACTGTATGGACCAGGAATTCAAATCCTTGACCAGAGACTAAAATATTCCAAGCAAGATGCCTGTTTTTTACAGGTAAGAATTATTTTGGGGCACCTGGGTGGCTTAGCCGGTTAAGCATCTGACTTCAGCTCAGGTCATGATCCCACAGTTCGTGGGTTCAAGCCCCACATCGGGCTCTGTGCTGACAGCTAGCTCAGAGCCTGAAGCCTACTTCAGATTCTCTCCCTCTCTCTCTGACCCTCCCCTGCTCACATTCTCAATCTCTCTCAGAAATAAAAACATTTAAAAAAAGAATTATTTTAAGGTAACCTCATTTATCTAGAAGTTTAAAAAATAAGACTATCAGTAACCAAAGGACAACATTTATGACATAGGGAGTGCTCAGTATCTGTTTATAAAATGAAATATTTTTCCCCTGGTGTTTTATCTCTTTAGTTATGTTAGAACATATGTTGTTTTATAAAAATTATTTTATAAACATGTTAAGGGATGAGTTTATTTAACTGTACAGGCTTAGGTCAGGTCTGCTACTACAAAGCAAGACAAAAACTTCCAACCATTTTCTACTGATTCTGGGCAGTGTTAACAGCAGAGTCAGGTAGAGTACAACCTTGGATTGTGAGTAACTCCTTCTGTGAGTGTTCTGCAAGACGAACAAACATTCCTAATAAATTTTAACTTGATCAATGAGTGAGGTCTTGTAATATGAGTAGTTCCTGATGCCGGGTATCACATGATTACAACTGATCCAACTGTTCTTGAAATTTGCTTTGATATACAAGTGTGTTGGATTACAAGTATGTCTCTGGAATGAATTATGCTCACAAACCAAGGTTTTACTGTAATTTTAATAATCAAAATGAACTGCACCAAATGGCACAGAGTTGGTGTGTTACAAATAGACATTAAACCAAAAACTTACGAATGTCTTCTTTGTGTCCAAACACCTACCTCCTTCGAGTTGTTATGTGGAAAGTACAACTTTAAAGGACAGCTGGGTTGGTGTTCCATGGGCTAGTTACCGATCTCTACTTGGAAGAACCACAATATTCATGGGTTGCTTGCTTTATTCATGGCTGGCCCTGCCTTCCTGGAGTAAATATCTTTATTTTCCTTATAAATATGTCTGTGTCCCTAACCATGTATTCAGTCATGGCTGTATGCCTTTTCTTTGGTATTTTGTAGGGTACATTTCATTTCATTGACATTGGTATTTTAATATTTAATTATTTATTTAATAATTAATGATTCTTATACTAGCAATGGTAATTATATAATGAGGATGTACTTTCAGTTCCCTGGGCGTTTAATCTTTTAAATGCCTTTTTAAAAAAATGTTTACTTTTAGAGAGAGAGACAGAGACAGAGACAGAGACAGAGAATGCATGTGTAAGCAGAGGAGGGGAAGAGAGAGGGAGAGGGAATCTTAAGCAGGCTGTCAGTGAAGAGCCCACATGGGGCTTGATCCTGCGAACTGTGAGATCATGACCTGAGCCAAAATCAAGAGTTGGATGCTTAACCAACTGAGCCACCAGAGCATCCCTTAAATACCTCTTAAATAACAATTTTATCTTTTTAAAACACTACCTTGTATGTGTTTGCAGCTGAAATATAGAAATTAGAACTTGACACAATCTATATCTCCTTTCTCTTCTTTGTCTTACTACAACTACTAACTACTATTACTACTACTACTACCATTATTAAAAAGCCAGATCTTGGGTATAATATAAGATACCCAAAACCACAGTCTTAATTTGGATAACTTTTCTTATTTTATCTTGACTCAAACATAACATTATGACACAATGAAATAATTAAATGGAGTGTACACAACAATCACAATAAAATGAGTGAAGGGCTAAAAAAAATTAAAAAAATAAGAAAAAGGGGGCACCTGGGTGGCTTAGTCTGTTAAGCGTCCGACTTTCGCTTAGGTCATGATCTCGCGGTTCGTGGGGCTCTGTGCTGACTGCCAGCTCAGAGCCTGGAGCCTATTTCAGAGTCTGTATCTCCCTCTCTCTCTGACCCTCCCCTGCTCACGCTGTCTCTCTCTCCTAGAAATAAATAAAAATATTTTTTAAAAAAAATGAGTGAAGGGCAAATCATACGTTTTCCATGGAAAAATTTGTATCAGAAGTCATTCAGGTATACTTTTATTACATTTTCTGTTTTAAATGAGATTTTGGGAATATTGTTTTTGCATTCAGTTGTTTACCCAGATATGTGTGCTCAAAGACAGATGTCTTAAAGGAAAAAGCAAGACTGAAACACAAATGAAAACTTTCCTCAAAGAAGAGATCTCAAAAGGTTATGACGAGTCACAGTTACTGAAGCGTACTATATATTTCTGTGCTCTCTGCTTTTTTAACCTGTGAGATGTGACCTGATTTTCCCCTCTCATTCAAGGTCATCACTAAACTTACAGAAAATCAAAAATAAAATAGTACAAAGGAGGAATAGACAAAGGAGAGTTTAGGTGCATATTTTAAGATACCACATTGGCTTAAAATAACTTACAATGAAAGGGTCACTTAAGAAGGGCACTGCTTAAAATTTAAGCAGGCAGTAATGGAAAGCGACAGACCTCAAACAATTTAAGTCTTTCACAGCTGAGTGAATTCACAGTGACAGCAAGACAAGGATGTGCTAACTTACCACTGCAGGACCTTGGCTATTGCTTCATAGGCTCTCCCCAGGCTGAGATCATCTTCCAGGTCTGTGGAGATTTTACTGTAAGTGTTAAGGACCTATCAGGAAAAGAAATATGTATTAAATATACAGCATGGCCAGATTCACTGATGTTTTCATTTCATAACAGAAAATATCAAAATTAATAGTTGTTTTTAATGTCTCTATAAAATATTTTTTTGTTTATTAAAAATTCATGTTGGCTTGGTTTATTTTTATCTATAGCATAACTTGTTTCATAGCAAACTCTTTAAGGCATGACAGTGAGGTCTTACTTTTGTTAAAATAATTCTTTTCCTGCACAATCCAAAATTTTCCAATTTATATAGCTTAGGTGTGAATAAATAATTGAATGGTTTACAACATCATTTTAAACATATGGTACTATTATCTAAGGTAATGTAAGGCAGATTACAATATTCTACTGTGGTAGCTTAACTATTACTTTTCTTTCTATAAATATCAGTTTTGTAAAGCATGAATTTAGGTGCTAGGCAATTTCTAAATCTATCATTTTATTAGATGTGCATCTCACAGTTTGAACATGTATTCAGTATACACTAAAAATATTTCTTAAAAATGTACTTCATTATCAACAATCTCTTCAATAATCAAAAGATTATGGCTGCCATAGACAAGCATGTGATCTTAATTTAATTTAATACTGACATCATCTTTATGGTATAATTTTCTTTTTATTCTTTTTCTCTCAATGGCCAGAAGGAGGAAAATCTGTAAAACAAAATTCCGATTCTTTCTTTTTTCCTTCATTGTTACTTGACCTAACCTATTACACACATGAGGACACAGGAAATCTCTAAAGACCTCTATGGAAATCCTTTTTGCACATTTTCTAAGATGGAATTAGTGAAAGTCATTTGACAGCATTTGGAGAGAGAGTCAGGGTGAGGGAGGACATAAATACGCACTGTACGCTACTGCGTAAATTAGGCAGCTTTGAAGATTTAAGTATTAGAGGCAGCATTGATATTTGACTTTACTTTCTTAAAGTTAACATTTGGGAAATAATTTCAATGAGGTCATTATGATACCTCATAACATTTGCTTGTTTGTGTGTGTATGTGTGGTTTATAAGTGATTGCTTGATATAACACTGACATTAAAACTTACTGATACATATTGACCCAGTGTTTTAAACATGCAAAGTTAAAAATTTTAATTCTTATTTTTAATCTTCTTAATATGCCTTGTATAATCCAAGAGTATTCTTTTCACTTTGTCTTGCATACCTGACAACAGCTACATTAAATCTGATATGATTTGACATAGACTTTTCTGAGTTAAGGGGCAGAACTCATGAATTTTGTAAATCTATAAGACACCTTATTGAATCCAAATACCAAAATATTTAGGAAGAGGCCTTCTAGTGTCTTTTTGGTCAATATATTTTTATATGACATTCTAGAACTTTATGATTGAATATTATTATATTTCTTGCCAAAAACAATCTGCTTATTAAACAAATATTGTTACTGTGTACCAGCCGCTATGTTAGACCCTAGGAAATCTTGTTAGAAGGGAACATGCTTGCAGCCCTGAAGGCGTTTATAGTCTTGTGGTACAGAAGTTTGGGTTGATGTGCTGTGTAAATTAGCAATGACTGAAGGCAGGCTTACACCACACTTCTACTACACACTCTCCCATGCCTTTGGTCACCTGAAGAAGTACAGTAAGTCCACAGGCACCTATTACCTTGGGGGTGTGACTCTTTACCCCCTAGACAGGAGGGTAAGTGTTCAAGAAATGATAGGTAAATATTTCAGTGCTGACGACATTTTAATTTGCGTTTGAGAGAGTTCATATATTAGCTTAAACACTTTACCTAAAAACAAGAAATACATAGGCAGTAGGAAGCATATAGTTCATTATTGGCCCAGTAGGGAAACAATGAGTGACACGAAGTCCAAACTGAAGACCTAGAAAGTGCCTTGGAGGAACCCATCTAAATCAGGCAGGACCTCTGCTCCTCAGGGGTGTGTACTCTAGGGGGAGACAGTCAATACAAACAGGTGGATCTCAAGAACACAAGGCAAAACTCAGCACATTGGGGAATCATACAGTTCAGTCTAAGGGGTGTAGGAGGGACGTTGTTAACATAAAGAGGAAAAACTCATAAAAGTGGGAAAATAACATGAAATTAAATATTGTGTAGAAAATAAAGGTGTTTTATATTGATCTTCTGGTAAGCTACTTTACCTGCTTTTTAATTAAAGTAGGCAAGGTATAATTTACAAATGGATAAACATTAATCAATTTGAATTATTAGGCAAATAGTGGAGTCTTTTACAAAGAATACTTCAAAACTTCAAGTGAGAAAATACACTGTGCAAATCTGAGGGATCAACTGTACTTGATTGAATATCCCTTTGGCATGCAATATGCTGGAAACAAATCCAGGTTAAATTCTATCATCACAAGTTGAAGATAAGAGGAGAGAATGAAGACTCTCAGATGCAAACTCTTTTGAGGAACTGAAAATTCATTATGTATCTTTAAAAAAAATTTTTTTAATGTTTATTTCTGAGGGAGAGAGACAGAGTGCAAGCAGGGGAGGAGCAGAGAGAAAGAGAGAGAGAGAGGAGACACAGAATCCGAAGCAGTTTCCAGCTCTGAGCCATCAGCACAGAGCCCAACGCGGGGCTCAAACCCACGAACCGTGAGATCACGACCTGAGCTGAAGTCAGACGCTTAACCAATTGAGTTACCCAAGTGTCCAAATTATGTATCTTTAACCTTTATTTACTATGAACTTAATAAACCTTTATCAAAAGACAAAGGAAACCTGATTAATCACATTACTAGGTAAATTTCAATGAACACCAAACTGTGCATGATTACAAAGTTATCAAAGTTGGAAAATCAGTTCAAACACCTCATAAAATTTGAGCACTACATAGCTACCTAAAAAGCTCCAATAACTTGAGTTCATAATGGAGATGAAGCTTTGGAAACTATTTCACTTGAAGTTTTAAAGGCAATGGGCCTCATCTTCCCACTAGAATAAAACTGATTTACTTTAAAAAGCATTTTCAGATAAAATCCAAGTTCTTAAAATGAGATTATTTCTATTGGTCACTTAAAAACAAAACTGGTAGAATACTTAGCATAAAAAATGAGAATGTGCAAAAGAATCAGGTTGGCAATATGCTACAAATTCTTTGAAGAATTGTTTGCTGTAAGATAAAATTTTAAGGGTCATTAATTTCTCTTGCTGCAATACCCTTTGAGAGAACATGGGATTTAAGTCAAGATTGTCACCTGTCAACAAAGTGAGTGGGAGAGAGTAAGAGAGAGGAGAAAAGGAGGGAGGTGAGCTCCCTGAGCTTTGGTACTATTAAGGGCAGATATATAAGAAGTCATTATTAGGTCTATTAATATCAAACACCCAATTGTTCTATATAATCTTTAAATGTTTAGGGTTTCCAGTTATGAGGGTGCCTTGGAACAAAAGAAAATGATCTATTTTATACTGACCCCCATTTCTTGTCTTCTTCTATTTTCTCATTCCACATCCCCTTGCAATTCCTCTTTGACAATCCCCTTATCTCAGACAACATTAAAACAGAAAGAACTTTCAGCAATAATGGCCCTTATATTTGTTTTCACAGCCAAAGCCTGCTTTAAACTGCTAAGGTGACTAACACTCCTGGCCTAACTCTCCCAAATTAGATGGAATCCTCTCCCTGCCCCTCGGCCCAGCCAGCTGTTATAAGAAAACACTGCTCAAGTTAGTTTTAAAACCTTATATATTTTGAGATAGTTGTAGATTCACATGCAATTGTAGAGCACTCTCATATACCCTTCATGTGGCTTTCCCCAATGGCAACATCTTGCATAACTACTGTACAGTTTCACAACCAGGAAACTGATATTGATTAAATTGACCCATCTTATTCAGATTTCACAAGTTCTACTTGCACTCCTGTGTGTGTGTGTGTGTGTGTGTGCGCGCGCGCACCCGCATGTGGGTGTTAATTTTAGGCTATTTTATCGTATGCATCTATCCATGTAATAACCACCACCATAGTTAAGATATAGAAAAGTTCTGTCACTCGAATGATCCCTCATGTTACCCTTTCATTTTTAGTATGTTTACTGCTTGGAGGAGAAAGAAGAGAGGTGGGAATTTTTTGTTTCTTTTTTCATTGAGTAAAAGAAAGGTCTGCCTTAGGAAAAATTCTGAAATAACTTGGCAGCTGATCTGTTCCCTTTTGGCACATCTCCCTAACCCCGTATGTATTTCACCAGGGACATTTCCTCAACTAAGTGACACAAGGACAGTAGTTGAATAAACTAGTTCATACTTAGGTGTGAATGACTCTGTCAGAAGAAGTTGTAGTTTTGTTTTGCTTTGTTTTTAAATTTTAATGTTTATTTATTTTAAAGCGAGGTAGCAGAGGGGCAGAAAGAAAGGGGGGGAGGGGAAAGAGAAAGAGGAGGGGAGGGGCAGAGAGAGATGGAGACAGAATCTGAAGCAGGCTCCAGGCGGTGAGCTGGCAGCACAGAGCCCAGTGAAGGGCTCAAACTCACACTGCAATATCATGACCTGAGCCAGTCGGATGCTGAACCAATTGAGCCACCTATGTGCCCCAAAGTTATAGTTTTAAAAAGAGGATGCTTGCTAGCCAAAAATCACTTCTTCTGAGTAGAGTTTTATGAGGTCTAACGAAGTGAAATGAAACAATTCAGATAGTGTGTGGCAAGATTATTGGGGATAAAGGTTATAAAATGAAAAAGAAAGGTTAGCTCTTTATTGAAATTCAGTCTTATGATATGATTCATTAAGCAGGTACTGATTTTTATAACCTCTTTTTTGGGTCTACTTCTATACCTCAGGTTTTCTAAATTTTTTTTAATGTTTTATTTATTTTTGAGAGAGAGATAGAGATAGAATGAGCAGGGGAGGGTCAGAGGGAGAGGGAGACACAGAATCTGAAGACAGCTTCCAGGCTCTGAGCTAGCTGTCAGCACAGAGCCTGATGCGGAGTTCGAACCCACAAACTGAGATCATGACTTGAGCTGAAGTCGGATGCATAAC